ACTTGCGAAATAAATGCACGTTTAATTTAGAACTCGGAGACACATGACTATGATTTAAAAGAGAAATTTTATAGCAAAGCACAGATCGATTTGCGACTTTCATTTCATAACTGAGCAACGTTTTTCATACTCGTGCGTTAATGGAGAATTTTATTTGTATACTCTTTACATAAAATTTGTAAGAGTATGTATATTAGGTTTTCGGGAGGAGTAAAATGTAATGGGCAGAAGGAGTTTTGGGAGACCCCATAAAGTATATGTATCTTTATATATATCTTGTACACACATATAGTATATATCTTTAAACACACATAGACTTACACAGACACAATTCCTACTTGTATGTAAATGTGAAAGTTTATTTTTTTAATTTTTTCTTTTTTGAAATGTTCATCATTACTTTAGAGTCTTTAATTATTCTACACATATACTTTAGCGTCTCCACTTGTTTATAGATCGACTAAATAGGCGACATATAGTTATTCACTTGTATTCATTTATTTGGGCCGCCTCTGTAAAAGTTTTTTAATTTAAAAGAAAAGTTACTTTATTTCAGTAAAGTAGGGACGACCCACAATAGAAAATTATAACAGAAAACTTAAAGAAACGAATTTAAAAAAGATAATGTATGTCAACAAAATATAAATTTCTAATAATATAATAACAATGCGTGTTGGGCGAGCTCGAGGAATTAGGGCTATATCCTCCTTTTGATAGAAGGTGTCGTGAACATCGCTACATATTTCAACATTTTCATTATTATTTATTCTTATTATTCTCCAGCTATATGAAAATGTAGTGTACTAGAATGTCTAGAGGCCCCATATTATGCTTAGGAACATATACCTGTGATCCTTACAGATATGTATGTCCATCTATGCGTCCATATGAACAGCAATAACTTTTGTGCCATAGCAACTAGGGACATCCAACTTTGTACAAGTATATACGAGTTGACTTGTCTGGCCATATATCGCCTCATTATTTGACATAACTTGCAACTTTTTGAATTGAAGAAACTTATTTTAATGACGGTAGTAATGCCCGACCGCCCTCTATATGAGCAGCTCTAAAAATTCAGCTAACACTCGTACAATTTAAAGTTCAGAGTCTATTCCACTTGATTATCATATTTATTTATTCAACCATTGATGCTTTGCATTTACATACAAAAGAAGACGACTATGACTATGCATTCGAATTGTGAGAAACAAGTGAGTAGCAGGAAGCAAAATTTCTCTAGAATAACGCCCCCTTTACGAGTACGAGCTTAAGTGAGCCTGTCATCTCAAGCATTCGATTATTTCAAGTGAATGTCGAGAGCGAATGAATTGTCTTGCGATTCGATTTTGTGCATGTGGCAAACCCGCTGCGGCAACAGACATCGATAGTTATTTGCATGGGTTGATTGCGAAACCTTGAAAGTTGCCCAGAAATGTGCCGTGGTGGGGTAACAATATTATGTAAATTGGATTTAAACATTTACACTGCGCCCAAAGCCACTGGCACTGGCAAAGGCAAAGGCAACGGCAAACGCAGAACCAGAACCAGAAGCAGAGACCGCGACCGAGGAAGAGACAGTGGCAGTGGCAGTGGCAGAGACAGGGAAGGGTATACAAACGTATATTCGCATCTCGAGTTTGAATTGGAATTGCAGTGCATCCCACTCCATCCATCGAGCACTGCCGTTATTCCATTGCTAAAAATGGAAGAGTCAAATGCGCGCATCTAATGACTGGCACACCCATAGACGGGCCCGATGTGTATGATGTCTGGACAAGAGCAGAAAGTGGCATTTGGATGGGGGTGGCGGTGGTGTTGGTGTTGGGGCAACTTTGCTGCCTATTTATGCCAGCAAATTTGTACGCGCTGCTATTTTGGTCGTCGACGTCAGACAACATGTGTAAATCCCAGCAAACGTGCAGTGAAAACTGCCGTGCCATCGCCTCATCTCCTCCTCTCCTCCTCTCCTCATCGACCATCCCGGCTGGTTCACGGCTTCACTTTACTTGCGCATTTTTACAGTCGGGGCGCGCTTGTGGATCCAGGGAGCAGACAGGCAGACAGGGGCAATGGCTTTGTGAGGGAGGGCATTGGTCGGGCACGACAAATGCGAGCAGCTAAGTGCACGTTAAAGTGAAGCAAAAATGCTGCCACCTATAGCTCGACATGAGTGGCTGACTGGCTCCCACAGCCTGGACGAACGACCAGAAAAAACCATTTTCAAAAAAAAAAAAAAAAAAAAAAAAAAATAGTTGCAAAAGGAAATGATTAAATTTTGAGCGAAAATGTGAGCGACTATTTTTAGATGGCAAGCAGCGAGGCATTCAGGTAGAGTAGGCAGAGCAGGGCTGGGCAGGGCAGGGCTGGCATGGATAATGACTTCGACTGCTCGAACTTTGGATGCTGCGGCAACGGCCGCGTCAGACTCCGCGTTGAACTCTCATGCATTTATTGATTCGAACTATTAAATTGATAGCAGATCATAAACATGCACAGCAGACGTGTGTGCGAGCCTCGCGCTGCGTCCTTGCCGGTAGTCGGAGCATTGCTTTGATAACTTAGTACTTACTGTTCACACTATGCAACTCTTGTTAACAAATCGAAAGTTTCGGGAAACTTTACTTGTATTTCAGAAAATCGATTGGCTTCTCTGTTGCTCAGATATTCGGAAATAGTTTCGAAGCAGCAAAGGAAAATATAAAACTCCTTTTGCTTGTTTAGTAGATAATTGTCTTAAGGATTTTATTAATTATACCTTTGTAGCATTCTCCTAACTAAACAAACATTTCCCTATCAAATTAGATATAGTTAAATAAGGTTCAAGCCAACTCAGTAGTGTGATGTGAAACACATCAAACGTCGAAAGTTGCTTATTGCTTTTACAAAAGTGAGGAAATAAATACGCGAGACACTTTATATTGCAAATGAAGAACGTCGAATATCTGACATCTTTCTTTATGTGACTTCCTCATCGCTAAGTCTTGAGCTATCCTTCTGTATCGTAGACAATATTTCTGAGCAATATCTTCTACCTAACTATGAAAAGCAAGAGCACGATATGCAGTCGCTTGTTGTGTAGGCGATCATAACAATTAACAGGAAAATATATAAGTGTATAGATTTTATAATTAAGAGCCATTGACTGTTGAATAAAGTATTACTTATCTTATGTGTGATATGCATTTAAATTAAAGTTAATTAGCGAGATTAAACAGAAACTAATTGAAATGTCATTAATTATGTTATATTTCTTTGGAAAAATTAAAAATTAAAGTAGTGTGTGGCGGAATAAAGCGAAGATTGAAATTAAATTAAAATTTTAATAAAGTACAGTTTAATAGTACACCTACATTTCAACTTCACATTAAAAGCTCGAAGTATTTCAATTCAACATCTAATGCGCGTATATAAGATCTAAAAAAATTACTTTTGAAGGAGCTACGAGTACATTATTTGTTAGAAACAAATGCAATTATACAATCAAAGACAAGAGGAATTCTTCTTCTTATTGGATATAGGAATTGAGCACGAAATCATCGCCTTACAATTTGGTATAAATCGCATTTGAATAAATCAAAAAATGCGACATAAGATAATATGATTTAATAAAATAACATAAAGGGAAATGTTAAATAGTTGTATATTACAAATGAATTGGTTTTAAAATCAATTACTCATTCCAATAGACGAAAATTTAGAAAAGAAGTCTGTGACACACCAGTTTGATTGCAATATCAACTTTTGTGTTTTAAAATGCATATAATTAAAATATTCAGAGTGTATTGCAAAACTAATTTGTGCAAAAAATAAGTCATTTGTTTGGCAGACTAGCTTTGGCTCAATGTTTGAACGGTTCTTTAGACATAACTGTGGCTCAGGTCCCGGACCTGGCCCAGGTGTGCAGATGGTGCACTGAAGCAATCGTTGAAAATTTGATTTTTCATAATATTGATATTGATGTTGATGATGATGGTGATGGTGATGGTGATTGTGCCAGCAGAGTGTGCAGCACTTGGCAAACGGACATTCAAGGTGTGCATGTGTGTGTGTGAGTGTGTGAGTGCATTCAAACTGCAGTTGCTCTGTTTCGCTGGATGCCAAACAAATGGCAATAAATCATGACTGTGACATAATGCCGCTGTGCACAGAAAGTGTGCGCCATGACGAGACGACAGGCTCTCTGCCTTGGTCGAAATGGCTATGAATGGATTATGCTGTTTCAAAACATTGAAAAAAAGGCAAGTAGTATAAACAATTTCATTTGCTGAGCATGCTCCCAATAAACTATAATAATAAGCGTTTGAAAAAAAGTTTCCTCGAAATGAAACAGAAAAATATTGCATCAATCATACGGATGTCGTTTCTAAACATGGGATTTGCTCGGAATATTTCGAGACCATTTCTACAGAAGTATGACTATGAGGCCTTTGATCAGCTGTTGCAAGACCTTTCCTTACATTATCATTTAATATTACACCCCATTTCACAAAATTGTATAACAAGACTACGGCTGTGATTAGAAATTCTAAATGAAAGAATGATCGTATTGTTGGTAGTAAGACTATTCTTAGATTGTACATTCTATATTATGGCTAAATCTGGATATTTTTTCTGTCGTATAGGACTGCATTTAAATGAACATTTTTGAAAGCTTGTGAAAACTGAAGTCGTTGGCATTAAAACAAAAATCGAACATTTCACTATTTACCAAGAAAAATACAATAAAAATTTCATTTTACGATAAACGAATCTTATGAACTTGCTGTCAAAAACTTAATTTTAATTAATAGCTGTAATTGATTTGCTGTGTCGTCTATAGTCAAGATAGCTGTCGATAACTCTTTGAATACTATTCTTATTATTTATATTTCAATATAGTTGTCTCGTAAAGATTGTCAACACAGCAACTCGATCATAAACCTTCAAACAATTCTTTTAGGTTAAGCTAGACATAAATTTATTTTAGCACAAAAAGTCGAACAAAAAGTTACTTAACACAGACCTCCTTCTCTCTTTTTAATAATAATAGGCATCGTGCTGCTTTTCCAGGTTCACAAGATAGTTAACAATGTTTAGACATACCCAGAAATTTCGCACCTCAGACGACATGTTAGTGAAAGTTCCAGGCAGATGGATGCGGTTTCTGAAGTTTGTCACCACTTTAGTTGCAAGCACCGCTACGACACCCAAAATAGTTCCTATCGACCACCCTATGCGGCTATTTAAGAACGTTTTGGACTGGGTACAAATACACGAACTCGAGGCACATCAGGAACTATTTCCTCAGGAAGATGGACCGAAAATTTGCGATAATCCAGTGGATGTCGTGCTCTATATGGCGCAGTTGTCCTTCGAAGATATAAAGTTGTTCACCAAGCTACCCAGTCACGAGCTTTTCGCTACCATGAACGTTGCTGGACATCTTGGATGCACAGAGATGCAACAGATGGCCCGGATCTATATAGAGTATACGACACGGCACCTCAATTTCAAAGAGCGTTCCAAGTTCTTTGCTAAGCAGATTGAGATCAGCAAGGAGGATGACTGGGCACTGGATTATGACTGGGAGCTGCAACAGGAGATTAATAATCTCAAAGTGCGCCATTACTATGAGGTGTAATAAGCACATAATATTGGTAAATATTTTCAAACAATTTCAAAACAAAGGCGGAAATAATGTAACAAATTATAGGTTTCTAGCATTCACAGCGCAAAACCTCAATAGAAATCATTGGTATGGAGAAACGAGCCTCTTTGGAAGAGCGACAAAAAAAATCGATTCTTATCAATTCGTTCAAGCACACAAGCAAGTAACAAAAGCTTTTACGAACCAAACAGTAACTAAATTAAATGTTTTGGCAATCCTTGCGTTTAAGCAATGTATTCAATGTACATACAATTAAATTTATGTATCCGTCAAACTATAATTAAACTGCATTATCCACGAACAGTTTTTTTAAGTTAGTTCTGACTATTTTTTTTTTTTAAATTTTATTTTTATTTTTTTTGTTTTTAGAAGAACTTATGCGGTTAACGTTCATGTGAAAATACCTCAAGTTATCGTAATAGGTGTATTTCAGACTATGCCCATGGTCGCTAAGCACCTGAGGTGTACTACACGTTTACCTAATTTTTATATCTAGATTATTTGATAAATTATTTGTAGGTGACATTTTCTTTTATATATTTAAATTATTTGGCAGTGGATACAGGGCTTAAAGAGTCAGGCCCAAACGACTCAAGCGTTCCATTCTTGTTTGCATTTAATTAAAATATTTCTGAAATATAAAACAAAAATTATCTCTGCTAAAGGCGTTTGTTTTCCAAGTACTTCAAAGCATATCGGGGGCCTCCCGCAACCCATTCAAAAAATTTGATTTTGAGAAGCTAGTGGCAGAATAGCTTTTAAGGGTCTACATATACGTATAATATGTATATACTCGTACACATATTATAATATTTTACTACTTATTTCAATGTCAAATTATGTACTTGGCAGCTGAAAAATGCAAACTTCGTGCAAAGATGTTTAATATTTTTTTTTTACGCAAACTTTCGGAACTCTCACGCGCCAGCTGTCAGTCGTGCGAGAAACGTCAATTTGCATAATAAATGAAAATGCATTGAAAAGTGGCAACGACAGCTGCAGCTTGCAACCAAAACAACAACAACAGCAGCAGCAGCGAAGAGTTCCCATTAAGTATGAAAGCAAAGATGGCTCCGATGTAACTGCGAACAAACAAATAAAATAATCATGCCGTGCATGATGGCCTGGTGGCAATCCGAAGAAAATGAAGAAAAGCGGAGAAAGGTACGAACACACATACATGACAGCTGATTGTATAGTGAAAAAATAAAAAGGGAGGCAGACAGAAATCATTTCCGCCTTACAAGTAGTGGAAGAAATGAAAGGAAGACGGCGATGAAGATGGTAACGGGGACAGGGAGATATGTCGACTGGCAGTTGGAGCTGGCGCCGGCGTCCATTTTGGTTCATTGTACGAGACACATTTAAACCACTTACTGTCATTTGCCTGGCGCGGCGGCCAAAGAGGCAAATCGATGGCAGCAAAATGGCCAAAGTGTAAAACAAAAGCGCAGCATACGAAAAAACTTAGCATACTTATAAGCGCATGTAAAGCACATGGCTGGCCAGCACAACTTTGAGTGTGTCTGTGAGTCTGAGTAAGAGTGTGTGTGTGCGTGTGTGTGTGAGTGTGAGTGTGTGTGGCATACTTATTGGCAAATTGCTGTGGAAAAGCACTTGACGCCGCATACTTATAGCTCTTTTTTGTGTTCGCACGACCCAAGAGAGAGTGAATAAGAGAACAGTAGACTACTTATGCCTTTTTCCGTATAGTTTCGCACACACACTCACACTACTATAAACCTGTACACTGCAACAAAAAATGAAATTTCATCATCAATTATTTAATTCTTAATTCATTACTCTTCACGCTTGAAATCTTTAGTTAAATTCGTGATCTATTCATTTTTTTGTTTAATGTATTTTATGACGATAATTTGAATTTAGAAATATTTGACTAAATGCTTGTACTATATAGCATACTATATGCGATCGTTTGATTGACTGTCTTTCCCGCTTTATGTAAGCTAAGCTTAATTAGCTTTCATGAAAGATTTTTAAAACAAATATGACATGAAGACATGAAAAGTACACATAATATATAGTACCTTGTAGGACTTGAGCAAATTCCATAGTTTCCAAATTATCTGGTATCGATTAAAAACTAAACAAATTCACATTTTGCACTGTGTATGTACGTGTGTGTGTGTGTGTGTGTGACTGCAGCCCTTTATATACATATTTCAAGTTGTTTTTTCATTTTCATTTAATTTAGAAAACGACGTTGGCATCAGCGCCTTCGGAACGCTTCAAAAATTATGCAAGGAATTTTCCCCTTTTCATGCGCACACAAACGTACACACACACACACACACACACACACAGAGAGCAGCAAACGAACACTAAACGTGCTGTTGTCACAAGAGTGGGCAGAGGGGCGTGCAAGTGACGCCTGCATTGTTACCAGCAATGGCAGTGGCAGCGGCAACGGCAACGGCAAAGCTCTATGAGTTCGACTCGAGGTTGACATACATATTTGCCATGCCTAACCTAGCATAGCCCACAACAGCAACACCAACACCAACAGCAACAACAACAACTATTACAAGAAGAAGAATGAGAAGAAGAGCGCGTGAGAGTCAACGACACCGGCTTTCGTGTGTCGCCGGATAAATGCACGGAACGAGCTGACAGAGGCGCAGAAGGCATCAACATCACTTGTCAATTGTCAGCGTCCTGACGTGTGCCATTTCATTGTTTTGTGTACCGGAAATGATTTCATCGATGCATAAGAAGTGCACAAGCCCACGCACACACAGATACTCAAACAAATCCTTGCTGCTTAGACATTTTTATACCCTGTACATGAAATGGTGCATGTTACAGGCATAGGGAGTTACAATCCATGTTTTGGGTACACATGCATACATCCACATATATCTGAGGGGGATTACTTTAAAGGGGGCAACATAAATACTATTCAAAAAAAATTTGCCTTTTCTTTTGTATAATCGTGAATCTTCTCGTCCGTCCTCCTGTCCACTGATCTCTCTTAGTAGGATAACATTTTTGCTTATCAAGATATCTTAAGCAGATCTGATATAAGTTTAAGTGCCTCACCATAATCTAAAGATATAGCCGTTGAGCAGTTGTAGGGTATTTGAAATCATGCTGGCACGACATCTACGGTCTACTCATCAATAATTTAATAACTTCCCTTTTAAAGAAAATGTATGCATAAATCTGCAATCTATGTGCTTACCTTTTGTCTCTGCAAATTCACATCGAGTTGCACTTCAAAAGGATTGAAAGTTTACTTTTGTCTTCCACACAAACAATTGGAGTGCATCAAGCGCAAATAGCCGTCTTCCTGCAAAAATATATTCTGCAATTAATTAAATTTTAATCAATATTTTATACGATAATAATAATTTGCAAAAGGGCAGAAAATGGCATCTGAATAAGCAACTACACAATAAAGTGTTACATTGCTATGGCGAATCTAGCTTTTCACGAACATACAAAATACAGTCTTTTTAGAACCCGTTATAGGTATAGAGTTTTGTTAACATTTGATATATAATGACTAATATAACCTGTTATAGGTTATATGCTCTGGCTATACATACATATATTTTTATAAAAATGTATCAAATTTTTTGTGATTAAGGATTTATTCTGAATACTTAATATTTAAAAGATTTTTTCAAGTTCTATTTGTTTTGTGTATTCAATTTATTAAAGCCTATCAAAATCGGAGCAAAGCAAATAACGATAATTATTTCGTTTTCATTTGATTTAGTACATAAGACTCATTTAGGTATTATTTCGTTCTTCTACATAAAATGTCTCTATTTTCCATGTTTCTCAAGTCAAAGATTTGTAGTTTAAAAGAACTCTTGAATCTAAACCATTATTTTAGTCATCTCAAGGATAAAATTCAGCAAAAACGTACATATAATTATTGTTAAATAACACCAGACAACACTTTAAAAAGGTTTCACAGTTTCTGGGTTCCAAATACAATTTAATGCAATTACAGATTCCCATTCAGTATTTATCAAATATCTTGCCTCTGCAGTGAAGATGTTTTTTATGTCATTAATTATTCAACAGAAACAGATTATTCCTCCCACCATTGGATTGCTGGCTTTCAACGGTAATCCCTAAACTTTATAAATTTCAAGAAAAAAAGGGACTTTAAGATAAGCATCCCGACTTTACTAAGCCTGACCACCTTGCCATTAAATGCATCCAGTTTTGGATGAAAAGGCTGATTAAGTCTGAAGGTGGTTATCAGCGCTTGCCATTTAGTAATTCTCTGAATAAATGCAAATAAATCAATAATCCTTGCATTTGTAAATTCAGACTCGTCAACTGCTTAGCTCGGCATACTGTACTTTAATTATTAACAGCTTGACTAGACATTATGCTTATGTAGTTCATGATGCTTTTATTGTTGGTTAAGTCATGTGTTGATGATGTGAATTTGTCCGGTAAATCCAGAGCCGTAAATTCCCTATTTTCGCTCCAGTTGTGCCAGCATTAAAGCAAGCTGAAGCTTTGCTTTGCTTTGTTGTTACATACATCCATCCCCCAAGATCAAAACTATCTCAATACCATATGTGTTATTGTTGTTGCTGCAGTTGTTATGTTTAAAAGCTGTTTCATACCCAAACAATGAGTGCCCAAATAAATAAATAATTTGGACGAAACGAACGCAAATCAGTTTTTGGGCAAAAGAGAAACAACAGCTACAATAATAACAATAACAATAACACAAACACAAACACACTCACAATGCAAGTGAACAAACACAGCAACAAATTTGTATTTACACTGGCCCTGACTAAATGCACATAAATCGCATGTCAATTATATGGCATTAACAGCAATCAGGCAGGCAACCAACCGCCCCGGTCAGCCCCTTGTACTATATATACACACATACATAAACATACTTAGTAAATATTGAATGAAATAAAATGAGCCCATTTCGCACACACAGTCGGTACATATTCGCCTTTACATGCATATATATTTACGCATATTTATATAAATATGTATACATACATATATATGTATATAAACATAAGTATATAAGCATATTCCATATGCAAGCATTGTATGATCGGCCAATACTTAAATAGTTGTGTTCGTTGCAGTTTGCGAATATAATAATTATTGCATTTAAACATAATTTGGCCACAAATAGCTCGAGAGCAGACAACCATCCTCATGCATCCTCATACGTGTACACAGAGAGCCCAGCAGGCAGGAAACACCCGCTCCTAGCCACTCCCACTTACGCCCACATTTGCCGCATGGACTGAGAGAAATCAATTTCATAATAAGCACAAACAAATGAGCAAACCAT